ACAAATAGCTGCGAAGTGGTCCAAAAAGGAGGAACTGCAACATCTTTATATATATATATATGCTAACCCCCCCACATGTCTACCTTTTTTGGTTTGCTAGCATGGTTTTTACCCAGGGTCGTCCTGTGATTTAAATGCAAGAATATAAGCAGAACGGCTGACCAATGCACACAGGCAAGGGCAGATGTTTTCCAAGGTTGGGAAATTAGAGAACAAAGATACAGACAGATGAGAGCCCACGGATATTTTAATCAATGCAGCCATGGGCAAGAGGGAGGACGGAAGCAAATGAAAAAGGTGTTTGACTGCGAAATAGCGGGCTTGGGAAAGACTTGGTCTTAGGAAAGTCATAAGACCTATCAGGAATAAATCATAAAAAAATACTTGCTTGAAGCAGGTCCAAAATTGTGTATTAAATCCAAACCTCCAAAATGTATCAAATATCTGCAAATATATACCATAAAAGAATAGAAAAAGGTAGGTCTATGGGGGTACCATATATATATATATGGATGTAGTGATGCCTGTATGGTACCACCCCCCAAAAAACAAACCAATAAGAACTATAAGAGGTAGACATTTTTAGGGGGTGCCCTTTACCTTTTGCATACTAATAATGAAGTTGTTACTTTTCAAAGCTTCATACTTGCTTCTATGCAGCATGCTTCTGCCTGTGGATGGAGTCTGTTAAGTTGACACCATATGGATCACCCAACGACCTCTCACTCACGTGTATTTAACGACATCTTTGCGAGCGGGCGTTGTTGCTTCAGGCACTGGCATGGTATCCTAAATATCACGAAGTTTGTTTAATCGAATGTTTTTTCCTTCGGTTAAAAAGGTGCTGTTAATAAAAGCATGTTTTGCAGATGTTTCATTTTAGACATCAGTTCCTTCGTAGGTGATTAAAATCTAATGAACATGTTGAAATCAAACACACACTTCAAGGCAAGCGGACCACTCCACACTTGCATTCACCAGGGTAACAGTGAATTATTAGAACGCAACAAAATAATATCTCACCTTTGGTGCTGAAAGAAACAATTTGGTTCTGCAAAGCAGACGACTCTTGCAAAGATGAAGGTTTTGCCAAAAGAGCATGTTTTCTGCAAGCAAACATATTTTGCAAAGATGAAGGCTTTTTACTAATCACATAAAGGAACAACCTCGGACAACAAAAAATTGGAGGAGTAACTCCAAATAACAAAATTTTGGACTTGGGACGAGGACTCCTTCACATGCACCGCTTCTATAACGTGTGCTGCCTCTATGTTTGTGAGGTTGTAGAAAAAAGCACACATATTCGTAAATGATATACTGTATGTATATATATATATACAATGTACTTTGTTTACTACACCCGTGAAAAAACAACTCAGGTCATGCGCCCCTCCCTGTTCTCTATTTGTTCCAGTACAAACTGTTCACGCACATAGTGTTTTGTGATTTGTGTTTTCCTGGATGTTCCCAATCACTTGAGTGTGTCTTGGGGTTGGGGTTGTGGCATTTTGGCCCTGACATCACATTCGGGTGATTCTATAGTGACTCCAAACTCAAACCTTTGACATGATTGGACATGACTAGCGGTCCACGGCCATGCAGCTGCATCCAGCCGCGTCTACACATTGTGAAAAACCTTATCCTGACAGGACTCGCCAACAGGGTGACTACTCCTTACATTGGGATACCAATTTGGTGGTTTCGGTGGCAATGTTAGAGACTCTTCATCACAAGAGCGATTTCATGGTCCCAAGGATATGCTATAGTTGTTGAGGGCTTCCGGGAAATTCTCGTGCAAACCAAACTGAACTCTACTAGTGTTGGAAGGGGAATCCGTGGTGTGCAGAATCCCTTCTGTTTATTCAGAGGGGCCGCCGTACACAGGATAATCCATGTTTGTAAACAAAAAGGATAAGATCCACTTGGACCACTGCTGGATAGTCGACTTGATCACCAGCCGCCAGATCGATCTGCTGGGCTTGGTGGTGGGACAGGCGCGGCTTGATTCGCGCGCTTCGGGTTTCGAACGTTCGACCAGAAGCGCGGGACCGGCCAGGTTTTCATGATAGGCTGTCACTGAATTGAAGCCTGATCAGGGTCCTAGAGGTGTTTCCAGGTCACAAGTACCTTCTGAAAGATCTTGGACTTCGGAACACCTGAAAAGACTCGCTCCGGGGCCCTTGTTGCAGCGTGGCGCTCGCAAGCTCGCAATCGGTAGACCCTTATCGCCTGAGCTTGGCTCGGAGGAGCTGAGAAAAGGAATTCGACAGGAGCACCAGTTCATTCGAGGGCGACAGGGGGAGGGCGACAGGGCGAAGTTTGAGTAGATTTACTTTGCCCACTGTCGCATGGACGTGCGAAAAAAAAAGCATGAAAATGGTGCAAGAACACGCAAGAACTAGTTTGAGAACTCATGTGCCTGCCTTTCAACCTGAGAATATTAGGGACTATATAGTGGGGGTTGTGTCTAGCTGGCTGGGGTAGTTTTTGTTTTGGGTGCGTGTGCCGCCATCACAGGGGGGTCACTATGTTATCTCCTATCTCCAGAGCTCCTTTCCGCCGGCCAGGGTCACATGAGATCACATTTCAACACACAAAGGGTTTGCAAATCCATCAATTCCTTCAATTCGTACCCAAATCCATCCAAATCCTATCTTGGCAGCAACGCTTATAGAGATAGAAAAGTAAGACATCATCAAAGATATACTGTATATCTTTCAATCTATACGTGGGCACCGTTTCTTGCCACCAACTAAAAAGATGGGTAACTCATCAGACATTTCTCCGTCAAAACCTTCTCCGTCAGGTTCCCACCTTGGCCCCTGCGGCCACGCCGGGCCCAGGGCAGGTGGGGGAGGGGGCCGGATGTCCTTCCCAGGTCTACACCCAGACCAGACGAATGGGATTGGAAGAGTGACCTACATGGAGACTGTCATGTGGATGGGGCAAATGTAACTCTTCCATGGATTTATGGTCTACATGTCAATGACGCTTGTCCTAAGGGGTGGTACCCTAAACACCACGCTTTTTTATGAGGGGTCATCAGGGGGTCCAGGTATGACGGTTGAGTGTACACAGGGATAAAAAGAGTGCTTGGAAGCTCGGGAGCCGATCGTATGCAGAGAGATGGGTGGTGCTGTTGGTGATGCAAACGAGTGAGGTGTTCAGCAGATAGTCGAATAGATTGTATAATTGTTCACAGTTTGATAATTTCATGATGTTTCCATGGGTTGATAGGCATTGCAATCATTTGCAATCCATCTCCGCTTCGACTGCTTTGAATGGATCATGAGCTTTCGTGAGGTGTAGGGATGCACATGAAATCATCCAATTCCGGAGTTCGTGACAGTGGAAGGTTGCTCTATTTGCTCTGTCCTCAGGCTCCACACGCAAGCTAACCCCCGATCAGCGGGCCCAACCGGCATTGGCCGAAGGCTCCGTTCGATCACCTTGGTCAGGGATGAACCCATTTGGGGTCCATTGGGGTCGGCTCCACCGTGCTCGGACCACGGAAACCGTGCCAGATCCTGGTGACCACCGCAGAGCCCACGACATCGGAGAGCGGGGTTGGGTTGTTTCTTTTGAGGGGAACGAGCGGGCTCTGGTCAAAAGAACTTACAACAGGAAGCAACATGAAGCAACGTATACAAAGTCATGCTAACAGAGTTGACAGAGCAAGAAATTTTGGAGGGAAGTCTGTGGACGTTGGACATGTCTCAAAGTCTTCTGAGAATGTGGTGTTTTATTATAGCTATATTTGTTTACGTTGGTGAACGTTTAATGGTTTTAGGATGTTTTAGGTTTTATAAAATGTATGCTTTCATGTAGATCTCACCGAGTCACTAACACTCTAGACCACCAGACGGATCGACTGGCAAGATGAGTGTGAGCGATTCAATAACTGATCATTCCATCCTTTTGTCAAGGTAATAATTATAGGAGGCTTATTGTCGGGCTCTCTGACAGACCATGACAGACCACAAGCAATTGGCAACAAAAATGGTCGGGCTCCTTTGAAAGTGCGCCAGGTGACCGAGGGAAAGCAGTGGCACGCAAGGGAGACGCTGATGGCACACACTGCTGGAAACAACAATAACGAAGGATGACAGTGAACGTGCGCCAGCCAGCTGTTCACGAGCAAATAGCACAGAAGAAAGTCATCTACCATTTGCCAGAGGCCCTTGAGGGTGGTATGAAAAGCATTGTGCTGGAGGTTCATTTCCAGTGGCTACGCATGCACCGGACATGAACGTGCTTCGTTCCACGGACAGCCACGAGCAAGTCCTTATTTCCTTCTTGGTTAGTTTTTTTTTTTTTTCTGCACCTACAATCCTGCTCCATATGCAACTAACTCCAGAGTCATTGCTGATGAAAGATGACACCTTTGCACACTGTGAAGTCCTACACGGATCTTCTATTTGGTCAAAAGCCAGCTAAGATGAAGCATCTCCCATAGGTACGTCTTTGGTCAACATGGTCAACCATGCAACCAATCGTTTGCTGGTGGCTCACTTGTTTCCTCATGTTTCCTCCAATCCGCCCCGCACAACTGGAATTGGACGCCTTTTTCAGAGCAGGCAACAAGATCAAATAAGACATCTCTTTGTCTAAATCACTTCACCCATGGGAGATGTCTAGAAAACAAACGTGTCTTCTGAAAAGAGCATGCAACTGCATCGTCTAATTAAACTATATACACACCCATGGGAGATGTCTGGAAAACTAAACGTGTTTTCTGAAAAGAGCATGCAAATGCATCGTCTAATTGAACCATGGGAGATGTCTATTGCAAACGTGTCTTCCGAAAAGCACAAAGATGTTGTCTGTCTAAATTAAATACAAACCCATGCGAGATGTCCAGAAAACAACACGTGTCTTCTGAATAGAGCATGCAAATGCATCGTCTAATTACATTACAAACCCATGGGAGATGCCTATTCCAAAACATGTCTTCTGAAAAGAGCATGCAAAGATTTCGTCTAATTAAATCGCCCATGGACCGCTTTTTCAGAGCAGGCAACAAGATCAAATAAGACATCTCATTGTCAAATTACTCCACCCATGGGAGCAAGCTCTTTGGGGGCGCCCAGCTTCAACCGGCTCAGGAGCTGGGCGCCCCAGTGGTGGGCATACCCATCGGTGACTTGGGCGGTGGTGAGGCGGGCGAGGTACGACGCACGCACCGCGGCGAAAACGGCTGAGGTATTTACCAGGTATGACCAGGATGGGTTGAATTTGTTGGTCTTTGGTCACCGTTCAAGGTCAGCAAATCTCAAGTCATGGATCCGGTGACCCTTGGGTAGGGTCTCCTAGTGATGGTGCTTCGGGCGATTCAAGGTTTGATCAGTTTGATCTGTTGCTCCGTCACACGGCGTCTCAGGAGTCCTGCGAATCCGATAAAAGAACATCCCAGTCGAATCCAGACGTCATGCCATCGCTGGTGTTGATCGAAATGGCATCATTGGCCGGCCAGGCAGAGGCCAGTAGGCGCCTAGCTTAACCGCAAAAGGAGTGCGATGTATTTGTAAAACAGACGGAACTGAGGATGCTGTTTCTCATGTCAATTCAGACTGACACATCCGTGTCGCTCTCTTGGATCACTTGGAGCATGATCGAGCGTTCGTGCCAGGGTGGGTACCAGGGGCCGCAAACCGTCCCGCCGGGTTTCTTCACCACCCAGGACAGGGCGGATTGGGGAAGGATTTGTTAATATTTTATTTGTTTGGAATTGAATATGTTCATTAATGGCCGGGCTATATATTGGAATTGAATTATTCCCCCAATCGTTTGACGCTTCTTAATTGGAGTTATTGCAACACCTTTTGAGGCTGGTCCGCTCACAAGACGGGCACACAGGCAGACGGGCACGCTGACCTCCATGCGCACACGGACACATGATGACGACCTTGGCCCTGGCGATACCGACGTTAATGATCATTGTGGTGTTGCTGCTGCTGCTGCTGCTCATGATGATGATCATGATGATGATGATGATGATGATGATGATGATGATGATGATGATGATGAT